CACGGTGCAACAAGGAACAAAAGTACAAAAGTACAAAATTACAAAGTGCGAACGTGCAGAACGTGCAGACACTGTGCAAACAAAAATTAAGCTAGAGAACAAATAAATACAATAAATTAAACAGACATTAGACACAGTAAACAGACCAGACAGTATAGCACCAATGCAGCACAGATTTCTGGACATGAGGTAGTGGAATAAGGTGCAGACATATTTAACATGCTGTGATCTGTAAGTTACGTCAGATAACGTACATATACACAGCAGTTACTGGAGTAGTAAAAACAACTACAATTACTGAGGTAGTAAAACTGTTTCTGAGGTAGTAAACAGTGTAAACACAGTATTGGCAGCAATGTTCCAGATAGATAGTGCAGGTAGAGCGTCAAAAGAGGTCGGGGTTTGTTTATGGTTCTGTGTAACATCATTCTCTTTATCAAAGAACCCTTGAAGTACCATCTTTTTAAGAGTGTAGTGTAGGTTGAATAATCTTATAATAATCTCAAGAAAAGATTAAAATCTTACAATAACCTCATAATAAGAAATATTCAGCTTACTGTCTACATTCCAGGTGTTTTCACTTGGCTGGATATGTTTTGTGTTTTGTAGAAGATACACAGTAGCCTCATACTGGTTCCACAGACTGAATGAGCAGAACACTGGGCAGAAAACACTGCTGTGGATGTAATGATGAAAATGCTAATGTTATCACACTGTTACACAGTCACTTCTGTACAATGGAGAGAGTTATCCAACATGGAGCGATGAGAGCGCACAATGCTGTGATTTCACAGCTGCCTTCAGGTGCCGCTGTCTGTGTTTATCTACAAGAGGAACATCTGCTATGACACCAAATGAGCATTACGATTCCTGTTAGCGAGAGGAACAGGCTGGCAGTCAGACGTGTAAATTATTTTTTTAATTAAACGCGAAAGTATTTTACAATCTAGCGAATGTCTGCTCAGGGGACTGATGTGTGAGTGTCATTTGAAAATGTGAAGAACTACACAATGTCTTAGTTGAGGAGAGAGAGAGAGAGCGAGAAAGACAGCAAAACACTCCATTAAAATAGCCAATACTAGGAGTGAATGAGCTCCCTGGCATGGGTCAGATACAACAGCAAAAGCAGACAACAGCAGTCAGTAATCGGGGTTATTAGTGACCCCAACACTGCAACTCATTCTGCTGCACATCCGCAATTTCGCTGGCTGGGAAGCCACAAAAATGCTCCATCAGAAAGGCTACTTACTGCGGCTTTCCCAGGAGCAGTATGGACTTATAACATACACTCTCCTTTGTAATCACAGCCACATGCCTGAGGACAGACATCATGATGAGATGAACTGGACCACATGGTGCGCAATTAAAAACATCCATTCTGGGGGGCTGCATAGCTTCACCATGACCTAATGAGATAGGCCATTGCCCCACTGTATACTTTGGCTTTTGCAGAAACCAGAACCCTGGATATTTCAATTAACCTACCCAAGCTCCACCCACAAATGCATTCTTTCAATACAGAATCCTGGTAAAATGCCATTCAATACAATGGAAACAGTAGAACATGTTCATATCACAATACCTGCATTTAGAGTCAGTTATTCATTCAAGCTAATGAGAAACTGTAGAACAGACTCAGTTTATATCACAATATCTACATTTAGAACCAGTTATTCAATCAACCTAATGAGAAACTGTAGAACAGTCTCAGTTTATATCACAATACCTACATTTAGAGCCATTTATTCATTCAACCTACTGATAAGGAGATGCTGACAAGTCTAGCATCTCCTGTAAACTCACCATGTGCTTCCGTGTGGTTTCACTGGATGCAAAATAACTGATGATGGGAACTTGTGGCTTTGAAAATACTGACAACATGGAAAAATATGGGGAAAAAAGTTTTGATCTTTTCAACGTTTCACAGGAAAAAAACATCCATGAAATGTGTGGCATTCTAATGAATAGTGTAGGGAACATTCTCGAAAGTTCTAGAAATCTTAAAAGATTTTATACCTTGATACGCAGGCTTGGTGGGCAGTCTTGGTTCATTCACTGGATCCCACAGAATGCTACTGTGTCCAGTGTTGTGTGATATTTGGACAATTTAAGAAACCAGAAACAAATCCTTTGTTAAGAATTCTCACATAAACTGAGTCTGCATTAACCCTATCAAACGTAACATTGTCAGTGTTTCATTCAGAGACTTTTTTCACCTTTGTTTAATTGAAATCTGCCCCATCTGCCTCTACAGTGTTATCTCTTACTGTATAAAAGAAGCTCAGTGCTGCCTTTATTGTGTGATGCACCAGTTTCTGAGCGAGTGTGTGTACACATACAGAATACAATTCACATTGCTATGGAAATGCTTTTCTTTGTTTTGTTTCATCAGAGTAACAATGAACACTACAAAAATGAAATCTTAGCATCTCATGGTTAGTCTATATATCTAACATAAGAAATGATGTGTGAAAAAATCTAAATTCTATGCCAGTGAAGTATCTGCCAGGTAAAATGTCTTAGAACAAGTAACAAACATCTAGGAATACACAGAATAATCTAATCTAATGTAATCTGAACCAATGTAATCAAGAAATTTAAAATGAGATATATTGGATATTTGGACTAGATTGAAGATGCTATCATTTTTGCAGTGTATTCATGTGTGGAAATTTGAAAAAAATGGCAATTTGTGACAACATAAAATAACACTTATGAAGCTATCAACATAAATGTGACAACAGCATTGAGAAATCACCTTATTATTAGAGAAAAGTGGATTTAAAGACAGAAACTGGTGCCTTTTTGGCTCACAATTAAATAGCTAAGATTATACTGAGTAATGTTGAGTACTTTATCTGAGCCATGTGAGCAGAATATGAGCACCAAGTCTATCAAAAGTAAAATCAAAAACCCAAAAGGAGTGGAAAAAGTTGAGTGTACTTAGAAACCAGCAAAAAGCAAGTACAAATGAGCTATGCTAATGATATGTTAACGAATGAGCACCTTGCATTAGCATATCTTCTTTCTTTTATGTCTGTTTTCATCCATCTGGAATTTGCAACATAATGAGAAGCAGCCAAACTTCAGGAAGCCCTGAGGTGAATGGAAGCAGAAAAGAAAACAAAGAAATACAGAGAGGTCCCCCTTCATTTTCCTCATTTTAACCTCTTCTGACCTTTGGAGCAGCCGTCCAACACTAATGAAAAAGCAAAGCTTTGGGCTTTGTTGGGTCCAGACTCGGGCCTTGGGGTCTGCTGCATTATTCAGTGTGGTAGATAAGGAGAGAGAGAGACGGAGAGAGAGAGCTGCTGAACCCTCACCATGCGGCTTAACCTTCAGCAGTGAAGGCCAGCGGAGGTGCGTCTTTGGGGATCGAGGCTGTAACTCAGCCTGCTGCACAACAATAGAAGGCTAAGGCAGCACGGATGAATGTCAATGAGGAAACAGACTGATAAAGATATGTGTATGTGTATGTGTTTGAGAGAGTGACAAGGAGAGAGAGAGAGAGAGAGAGAGAGAGAGAGAGAAGGTAAGAGAGGCAGAAAGGGAGACTGAGTCTGTTTAATATTTATTTGTATGGCACTTTTCATTTAGTTACAAAATGTCAACGTGCTGGAGCCTCTCTCTGTACGCCCCCTAGTGGCCATTCCACCACTGGAAGGGAAATTTACTCAGATTTTGTTAAGTAATGTAATCAAACAAGAATTTTTCTAGTAACTCTGCTATTACACAACTTTACCAGCCTTTTGTTGCTCCTGTCTCAACTATTTTGGAACGTGTTGGTGTCATATTCAAAATGGGCATATATTTTACAAAAAAAGAATAAAATTTCTCAGTTTCAACATTTGATATGTTATCTTTGTACTATTTTCAATGAAGTACAGGGTTTAAATGATTTGCATATCATCATATTTTTTTTATTTATGTTTTGCACAGCATCCCAACTTTTTTGGAAATGGGGTTGTATATTTATTCAAAGCACTTAAGCTTAAAGTTCAAAGTAAATCAGCAGCCTAGTTTTTTTTCTTTTTCATTCTTTTCTGAATAATATCAGGGCCAGAACAAATGTTTCCTTCATTAATAGAATTATTTCACAACAGTCACATTTTTTGCATATTAATTTTAATATGAATAATATTAATATCAGTTGAGATCACAGCCAAAATCAACTAAAACAAAAAATCTGTTTATTAGTAAGCTCATAATTTTTTACTTGTTCACACACACATGCATGTGCACATACACATCTACCCATCCACCCACCAATGTCCACACACAAGCGCACACACAGTAGATCAGCATTAGGAATGTCTTGTCTTTAGAATAATATCAGAACCAAACCACACAGAAGGAAACATAAAGAAATCTTTATTTATCAGCAGAAAACCGATGGAGGTTTTAGTGAAACTGTTTATGTGTGGCTGTGGTTGACTGACCTACATACTCTATTTGCGTCCTCTACAATATTTTGTGTGTAAATTGTGTTTGTGTTTTTCCTGACAGAATTTATGCTAAGTTAGATGTCTGTAAACTATAATTAGTTTAACTTAGAGCCTAATAAAAATAAATGTAGCGTTTAACAGACAGAAATGTAGGACTTTACCATCATTTTTTTATATATTTAGAACTTGAGTGAAAAAACATAACAAAAAATACATTTAGGATTCATCAAAAATACATTACAGGTAAGTTAAAAACTTAAAAGCAAGAAAGGAATCACATAACAGTGATTACATAAAATAGCCAAATTTAGAATTCAGGAGAAATGCATTTAGAATTTAGTAGTGAATGATGATGAATGAACAGAAATGATTTAGGCCTTGGATTTTAGGAGAAAAAATAAGACTTGTAATAAGAAATGTAACTTCAGAACATTAACCGACATAAATCTGCAACACAAAAGAAATTAATTTAGACATACTTTCCTCCTTTAAAATGTATTTTACATTTCTAAACATTTTCATCTAGATTCTGTGCTTCAGTATTGTTGATATCACTCATGACCTGTAAGAGAAAGAACATTTCATGATCATTCAGTTGTCAAATCACATGAAAACTGTGTGACTGCTCACTTACAGCACTACAGAAAGAAAAAGTAAAGTACAGGGTGATTCAAAAAGATTCATCTGATTTCATGCCATATTTTTACAACCGTGAGGCGCCTAGGAACCAATCACATACCAATTGAAAGAGGAGGGTCATAGAGTTTCTGACTGTCACTGGAAGATGGCTCTCTTCAGTCTCTTCAGAGATGGAGACCCCTGAGCAGAAAGTGTTTTGCATTCTTCACTTCACTAAGAGTGAATCCGTCATAACTGTGCAACATGATTTTCATTGATAGTGAACCTCCAACAGTTCAGAGCGTTCGTCGTTGGTTCCACAACTCTGGATGATCTCCGAAATTGCACTGAAAGAACCGTGAGTAAAGTAACACTCGACACGCTCAATCCAGTATGGAATGAATTTGACCACGGCATTGATGTTGTCTGTACAGCTGGAGGAGGTTCATATTGAGCATTTGTAAAATTACATTATAAACTTTTTGCTCAGTTAAACCATTTACAATTTACTGCATTGTTCTGCAATGATTTACAAGTGAAATAAATCATTTTGAAATCGGATGATACTTCTTTGAATCACCCTGTATTTAAAAACACAACAAATATTTAGTTTCACTGACTGGGCATTCAGTGCATCGGTGGCTTGGCAGGCGAATGCAGACGTACAGATGGAGACAATGAGCTCGAGCAGAGAGAACACCAGCAGCACGCCATTGATTCCAAGTGACTGGCCCTGAAAAACATTTACCTGTTAACTGCTGAAAGAGTCCATTTTCCACAAAGCTGAACCCAATGTTAGATGACATATCTCTCACATGAACATTAAATCTCTGATGAAAATAAGTACTTAGAACATTCTACGGCCCGGGATCAACAAAAGCTTCCAGTAAAATAAATTTAATGAAGATTTCCAATCAGCATGAAGATGATGAGTGAATATTTGTGAATTAATAAAATACCCAATGACAGTAATTTGAGTGAAAATAATATGAAATCAAGCCTTGAGTGGTGTTCAGGTTTGTGGGACCCATTATTAATGTTTACCAAAAGAGAAAATTATGTGATTTTTTATTACTTCAACCTCAGATTCCTTGGTCTTTGCTCATTTTCTGTGAACAACATATGAAACAACACATTTTTAGTGACTTCACACTGTTCACCCCCCTACACATTTATATTACACATGTAGTGTTGGGGTGAACCTGCAGGGAGTAAAAGTGTGGAGGTGCTTTGTCACTTAACTCTGTTTTCCTCCTACATGGCCTGCTGCTAGTGTGTGTGTGTGTGTGTGTGTGTGTGTGTGTGTGTGTGTGTGTGTGTGTGTGGACAACATGGACAGGCTGCTGACTGGCTACAGCTGCTAAAGGAGAACCTTACGCTGACCACTTGTGATATTTTACCTTTATCTGGCATTTATACCTAAATTGTTATGGCTGTATTGATTTAAATTAAACCAATAATGCGGTGGGCCCACCAGACCACTGATTAACAAAAACACAAACACCACACAAGGCTTAAGAAACATGGCTGAGTGAATTATCTGGTGGCTCACTGCACTCAGAAATAAGATATAATGGCAGGCAAAAGTTTGAACATCCCTTTATTTTTTAATTAAATAAAATTTTAAATACTTTTAACATGTTACATGTGTTAACGTATTTAATTTAAAATAAGTTCACACACCCTCTAAAGAGAACAGCCTTAAATATGGCCTTTAATTTCTTGCTGTGTTTAAAATATTTGGAAAAAAATGCACAGCCCACATTATAATGTGTTAAATTCAGCAAATAAACAGTAATTGTGCCTTAAAATGTGTAAAAGTGTGTTCTCTGTAGAGAATGTGTTCACTTAGAAAATAATAAGGGCTGTTCAAATTTTGCAGACGACTGTACATTGAGATTCTCAATTCAAAATATGTACATCACTTTCAGATGAATAAAGAATATTACATCGACACAATTTGGCAGTTAAACTATAGGACTAATATACACTATTGAATTGGATCAGATCAATACTGCACATCTAGAGCAATTTTACTTAAGAGACACCACCAGATGGAAACTTCACACACTTCGTGGTCTCTGTAGAAACATCTGTAACAATATCGATGAGTTATGGCAATGTCAAACGACAGCAGAACGATGGCTGCTGCTGCAGCCACAGCGCTGATTGTATTCATCGCCAGGGAGCTTCTCACCTACACAAGAGGAGAAACAGACAACAGCATAACATGTGGCAAAGTTACGACAGAGTATAAGCATTCCTATTAACTACTAGAACATTAAAATTCATTTTACATGTTTAAATCACACTCACTGGCCACGTTATTAGAAACACAGTGGGCATCAACAGATGAGCTACAGTCTAACCAGCAAGGTGGGGCTACAATAGAGGGGTTTCTGATAAAGTGGCCATTGAGTAATTGAGTACAAACTTATCATGGAATTTTGTTTTTATTTTTAAGAATTAGACATTGTCTTTCTGAGCACAGTAATTAACAATGAAATGTCACTAATATGTTCAAAAATACACTACATTCTCTGTTTACTTACTAAAGAGGGTTTAGCTTTCTTGTCTGCAGCAATAGACAAAGCACCTGAGGTGATATACTGGCATAAAGAAGAAGAAGAAGAAGAAGAAGAGGAAGAAGAAGAAGAAGGTCGGAAAATGAGAATTTTTCTGTTTTTGTCAAGTTTGAATGAAAAACACAATCCTACAGGAATACAAAGGCTACAAATGATAACCTACAAGACACGATCCCCAGTAAGTGACACCACTATAGGCACCCACACCTGGAAAAAAGACCGTTTTAATAATACCAAACAAGAACGTCATGATCCCGATCATTATCTGGACAGTCTGTGGAGAACAAGAGACAATCAGAGCAAAGTAAACATACCCAGTGTAAATATTAAAGAAAACTAGACCAGAACAGTTTTACCCCCAGTGCCTTTGGCTCTCCTTTCAGAAGTTTTTTAACTGGGCCTCCAGTGGAGACTCCAGTCCCGAGGCCATATTGCTCTGTTCCTCCTGGAACCACTTGGGTTACAATGGTGAAGCCATTTCTTGTGTTTGCAACAGGTACAAAACTGGAGGCCATCCTGAACACAGACCTGTATGAAATCTAATGACAATAAAAAAGAAAGATAAAAGAATCATTTCTTGTGGAAATTTACTGAATTGAATCTGATTTTCCAGCACTGAAAGATGGAAATTTCCCAAATATGAACAGTGAATATTCTCACTTGTTCTGTGATAAATATGGTACTGGAAGAAATAAAATTCCAGAAAGTATGTTTCTTTAGTGACAGTATCTAATGTTTCACACATTTAGGGGTTAGGGTTTGGGGCAGACACCTGCCAATAGAAAGAATCCTATAAATGATGATTTTGTATATATTTAACTTATTACTATCTCCATTCATGCCTTGTGTTTAAATAGATCATAACATAATGCTTGTAAATATCTGAAGTCAGAATACATGTCAAATTATTCTTCATTTATTTTGAGGAAAATACCTTTCACACACATAGGGGACGGGTTGGGAAACACTGAGTTTGATGCATGAAGAAGGGCCATTTTAAATACAGTGTCAGCTGAAAGTGTGAGATGAAACTGTTGATAATGTCTTACCTAAATTTGCATTTCGTACAACAAAATTACCAAAAATTTAGAAAGTTTAATGTTCAATCCACCCAGACCAAAACATGCAGCAGTACATCAGCTAACAAACATGCGATTTGTTGATTATTTGCAAGCATTTTAAGAAACATTGTTGAAAATCAAATTTCATTCAGTTCAGTTCAGCTGTGCTGCCATCTCTTTAGATGCAGAGAAAGCATTCAACAGACTACAATGGGGTATTTTATGGTCTGTGCTTGAAATAATGGAACTGGGTCTTAATTTTTATTAAATTGGTCAAATCTCTGAACGCCAATCCTTCTGCTGTAGTAATAACAGGTAATAAATGCTCACCTACATTTTTAGTTTCTCGTGGCTCTAGGCAAGGCTGTCCACTCTCTCCTCTCTTATTTGCTTTGTCATTTGAGGCCCTGGCCCAAGCAATTTGGCTATCCCCACTTTATGCCAATCACCATTAATAACATTCATCACAACATTTCTTTAGATGCTGAAAACACTTTGCTTTACATTAATAACGTTCCTTAAACACTTTCTTATGTGCTCTCCGTTTTGGATATGTTTTGCAGTCCCTCTGGCTATGAGGTCAATATGAGGTGCGCTTCTCCCTTTAAATGATACCATGAGAGACACAAATCTATCTTTAACTTTTCCTGTAGTACATCACTTTAGGAACCTTGGGGTTGAAATTTATTCATCCCTCCAATTTACAGTTAAGAAAACCTTTACCCAGATATTTACTAGAATGATTTGAGGGAGAGGAGTCATTTACCTAATACTCCTTAAACTCAGTATTAATAACTAATATTCTTCCTAGAGACAATTTTATAAGTTCTATGATTCCATCATCTCTTTTTTTAAGTTTCTGGGACAAACTCTAATCTAGTATCTCAGCCTATTTATGGAAAGGCAAGAGATCTCAAATTAAACTTGCTACCCTTCAGTGTAATAAAACAGATGGAGGACTTTCTCATCCTAATTTCACATTGTATTCTTACTCCTTTGCTCTTCATCCTTTTTCAGTTTGGATCAATTCAGATACTCAAACCCCCTGGTGGCCTGTTGAAGAAAGCCTGGCTGTTTCACGCAGATTACGAGATCTCATTCCTATAAAGCGACATAAACTGAGGCAAGGTCCACTCATTAGCAATGTACTCTTAACATGGTGGATAATAGAAAAACTAACCAAAACCACAATCAGTATCACAAGTGTTCCCCAATTTTTCAGAATTTTAAATTACTTACTGCCAACAAGCCTTTCTTCTTTCCACAATGGCAACAAAAGGGAATACATGTTCTGGATGATATTTTTATTGATTCAGGTCTTCAGACATTCCAAGACTTACAAGCATTTTATAGAATACTGGGTTTTTCATTGTTTCTCTAACTTTGCCTTTGCTTTGTCATGAAGGCATGCAGCGTTCCTCGGGGCTCCACTTTACCTTTACACCCATTAAATAAACTATTTTCTGCTAGCACAGGAACTAGAGGAAGAACTAACTACTAAATGGGAAAAAGAGCTAAAAAGTGCTCAGGGTCAGATCAATTGACAAACTGTATGGGAGAACATCACATCGGCCTCTAAAAGTCCTAACCACCAGCTTATTCATCTTAATTTTATCCACATATCCTATTTAACTCCCAATGCTACCATATGCACCTTATTCCATCTCCTCTTTGTATTTTTTGTCCTGATGGTAGATATGGTACATTTTTACATATGTACTGTAAGTGTTTAAATGTGCATAGGTTTTGGACTAAAGTTTCTTTTACATTATCAGACATTCTCAATAAAACTATTCCAAGGACAGTCCAAAGTTCTAAATGTAACTTAAAATATGCTGAAAAGTGTTTGTGGTTGTCTGGTCTCGCGGCCACAGAAAAATATTAGGTAAATTATTGTGAAATCTGTTTTATTTCTAGCAGCGTCACTGTATGATTACAGCTAGTATTATTTTTGTTATACTGTATTGGTTTGATTTGTATTACTTGTCAAATATTACTTATCAAGGGATTTTTTTAATCAATGGTAAATTAATGTGTAGGGAGTAGTCGGGGGCTGACGCTCCATTTTGTTGCTACTTTTTTCAGCCCATTGTATTTGATATTAAATTGGAGCTTATCTTAAAAATAAAAGCATTTGATCAGAAAAACTATGCGGACATGAGCAGAGGAGGTGTCACTTACAAAATCAACAAAAAATTAAATTTGACCGGTGTGCCCAAATTCTTGCATAAGACGATATGAACAAAATTAATTTGATGAATGTAGTTGGATGTTGATGTTTTTCTGTTGAAACTTTGACATAAATAGGCATTAAAAAAGATTAAAAACATTTTTGGGAGACTTTTCTGAACAAGAATATCTTTTTTTTGATCTCATAGTAGAGTTAAAGGAAATATCTTTAGGATTTGGATTTTTAAAATTATAAATATAAATGTGTTTCACAACATTTTTTCAATCAATTTCAAAATGAAATCACTTTATAACTATAGTTTGCTGGCTTAAATAATAAAGACATTTGTTAGCAAAATAGTATTTTGATCTGATACACACACACACACACACACACACACACACACACACACACACACAAATGCAGTAAATCAGCACTAGAAACTTTTTTGAATAATATTAGAACCAAAACAAAACATACTAAAATACTGTTTACCTGGAGTTGAAGTCTGCTGCTCTTAGTTCAGTGCTCTGCATCTGGAAGAAACCACTGCAGGGTTTGGAAAGGAAATACAGAGCGGTTTTTGTGGGAGGGGGCTGTGGCTGACTGACCTAAATGTGGCTAGCCAGGCCTCCCCCAATCAAACACTGATATTTGTTTTTTTTAGGCAGTGACAATATACAACATGTACGGAGTAAGCAGTGTAAACAGTGAATATACAGCACTGTGCAGAAGTGTGAAGAAAATGATGTGTAAAGCTATTTATCTGGACAGTAAGTGTTTATTTGTACACAAAAACACTAACAGTACAATAAATACAAATAAACAAATAAATAATTCACTAAGGAACCAAACCTGCGTTCTTCTGGCTGTATTCTCTTAATATATTTGTAACTTTACTAAATACAGCACATTTTACTGCATTTACATTTATTTGTATTTATTCTAATGTTATGTTATAAAAAAATGTAGGGCAGAAATTTATTCAAAAGTTAACAGAGTTACATTTAAAATTTAACACAAATATATTTAGGATTTTAACAAAAATAACTTTGGAACTTAACAGAAAAATAAAATTAGACCTGAATAAAAACAAATTTAGAACTTAAGAGAAATACATTTAGAACTAAACAGAAATACATTGAGGACTTAACAGCAAAATGAAATTAGGACTTAACAGAACAATAAAATTAGGACTTTATAGAAATAGATTTAGGACTAAACCAAAATAAATGTAGAGCTTACATTTAGAACTTAAAAGAGATGCATTTTGGACTAAATAGAATTTTTTTGCCAAAAATACATTTAGAACTTAAGAGAAATAAAGTTTTGTACTAAACATAAATTCATTTGTAATTGAACAGAGAACCTTACAGTATTCAATTTAGATTTTTTTTTTTCAAATTTATGGTGAGTTAAGCGTTTTCCTCAGCCAGATTGTGTTTCAGGATTGCTGATGATAAACACGGCCTGTAACGGAAAGAACATCTCATCATCATTCAGTCATCAGATCACATTCACTCACATCACAGTGCACTCAGATCTGTGATAAATAATCATTTAATAATGTGTGGCTGCTCACTTACAGCACTAAAGGAAGAAAAGTCAAATATCTGAGAACACGTGGTGTTGAGTGAACAAGAGAACAACAGACATTCACACTGTATTTATTTCATATTATGTAGTATATATTGGAGGCAGCATCTTACTGACCGGCGCTCCAGCACAGCAGGCAGTGCAGGTGGCTTTGCAGGCGAATACAGAAGTGAAGATGGAGACAATGAACTGAAGCACAGAGAAAACCAGCAGCACTCCACTGATTCCACGCGACACACTCCAAACACCATAAGACAGTGCCTTGAAAAAGTATTCATACCCTTGAATTTTTCCACATTTTTTCATGTTACACCAACAAACTTAAATGCATTTTATTGGGATTTTATGTGATAGACCAACACAAAGTAGCAGGTATTGGTGAAGTGAAAAGAAAATTATACATGGGTTTCAAAATTCTTTACAAATAAAATTCTGGAAAGTGTGGTGTGCATTTGTATTTAGCCCCCCTGAGTCAATACTTTGTAGGACCACCTTTCGCTGCAGTTACAGCTGCAAGTCTTTTGGGGTATGTCTCTACCAGCTTTGCACATCTAGAGGCTGAAATTTTTGCCCATTCTTCTTTGCAAAATAGCTCAAGCTCAGTCAGATTGGATGGAGAGCAATTTTCAAGTCTTGCCACAGATTCTCAATGGAATTTAGGTCTGGACTTTGACTGGGCCATTCTAACACATGAATATGCTTTGATCTAAACCATTCCATTGTAGCTATGGCTGTATGGCTGTATGTATAGGGTCGTTGTCCTATTGGATGGAAGGTGAACCTCCGTCCCAGTCTCAAGTCTTGCACCCTCTAACAGGTTTTCCTCCAGGATTGCCCTGTATTTAACTCCACCCATCTTCCCATCAACTCTGACCAGCTTCCATGTCCCTGCTGAAGAGAAGCATCGCCACAGCATGATGCTGCCACCACCATGTTCCACGGTGGGAATGGTGTGTTCAGGGTGATGTGTGGTGTTAGTTTTTAGGTCAAAAAGTTCGGTCTCATCTGACCAGAGGACCGTCTTCCACATGTTTGCTGTGTCCTCTACATGGCTTGTGGCAAACTGCAAATGGATTCTTATGGCTTGATTTCAAAAATGGCTTTCTTCTTGCCACTCTTCCATAGAGGCCAGATTTGTGGAGTACACGACTAATAGTTGTCCTGTGGACAGATCCTCCCATCTGAGCTGTGGATCTCTGCAGTTCCTCCAGAGTGACCATGGGCCTCTTGACTGCCTCTCTAATTAGTGCTCTCCTTGCCTGGGCTGTCAGTTTAGGTGGACGGCCATGTCTTGGTAGGTTTGCCATACTCCTTACATTTTCGGATGATGGACTGAACAGTGCTCCGTGAGATGTTCATAGCTTGGGATATTTTTTTTTATAACCTAACCCTGCTTTACACTTCTCCACAACTTTCCCTGACCTGTCTTGTGTGTTCCTTGGTTTTTTATGATGCTGTTTGATCACTAATGTTCTTCACAGAACAGCTCCAGTTATACTGAGAATAAATTACACACAGGTGGACTCTATTTACTAATTAGGTGACTTCTGAAGGCAATTGGTCTCACTGGATTTTAATTAGGGGTATCCGAGTACAGGGGGCTGAATACAAATACATGCCACACTTTTCAAATTTTTATTTATTAAAAATTTTGAAAACTATGTATAATTTTCTTTTCAGTTCACAATTACTTGCTACTTTGTGTTGGTCTATCACATAAAATCCCAATAAAATACATTTAAGTTCGTGGGTGTTACGTGAAAAAATGTGGAAAAGTTCAAGGGGTATGAACACTTTTTCAAGGCACTGTACATTCCTGGGACCCTCCTTGAGGAAAAGCAGGGCCAACTGACAGGTAGCCTAATTGTTTTATCTAAAGCAATAGGTAAATGCTGTTTCCTGATGGACGCTCTAATAAACCAAATGCTAGAAAATCAGAGAAACATCAAACATAGTTGAGAAAATAAGCTCTGTTTTAGTAAACGGAAAAAAAAACATGAGAGCAGTTAAAAGTCCTCAGATTTCCCTCACCTGAAAGTTAAAGTGGTAATGCAAAAAAGGACACATGTCGATAGACAGCAGAACGATGGCTACTCCTGCAGCCACAGCACTGATTATATTCATCACCAGGGAGCTTCTCACCTACACACGAGGAGAAACAGAACAGTTCATAGAGCAGCACTGTTTATCACCCTCCTACCTCATTAATCACTGGTCAGTTCTTGACCACAAGACCACTGTTGTCCAGTTATTATTGGGGTGGTGGTCCATTCTCAGCACAGCACTGAGTCTGACATGGTAGTGTGTGTGGTGCTGGTACGAGTATATCATTTACATCAGTGCCACTGCTAGGTTAAGAGTGGACCAGCACCTCTGCGGTCAGAGCTGACCATTGATGAAGGACTAGAGAGTGGCCAAGAAAAACTGTATCAACAGATGAGTTACAGTCTCTGCTGCCAGATCTCTCACATCCCTCCTGGTTTATAATGGTGTAAATATATAGATGTATATGTGGTGTAAATTTTGTGATGGCCTTCATGCCTGTTTATCTATATTTGCTAGAGGTGTGAATCTCAGGCTGCCTCACAGTTCTGTTTTTGTTCCAGGGTGCCAAGATAAAATTCTAAAGTTACTCTCGATACAACTTCACGTTTATTTCTATACACTACACTTTGATATTTTGTATCATAACGTGATAAGGGGTACTCAAACAAACCCACCCCCCCAAAAAAAGGAACTTTACAGAAGAAGGAAAAAAGTGTTCTTAAAGTTTAATAGATGTTAATAAAGTAATTAATTATTCCATGTAATTTTGGAACATTTCTGTTGGTCGATCCATCATGATATTGTGACACAATGTAAAACTCACCTAGTTATGTCAAAAAATGAAAAAGAAAAATAAAGATACACTGTTTTGTCCCAATAATGATGATACAGTAGTAAGTCATAAAACACAACAAACACAAAAAAATCACCTGAAAGTTTTGAATGTTTGTGCCTTTGTGGCTGTTTCTTCTTTTTACGCCCCCTGCTGGAGAAATTCCAGACTGCTACACATGCTACATTTGTAAATAAGTCATTTCCCAAACCATGTCCAGTCTGCATGTAAAAAAAACCTGTTTTCTTTACCATTATAGCAAATAAACTCTTTAATCCAGCTATACAGTTGTATAAGTTATATTGTAAATAAGTATAAACAACACGTCATATACTGACAATAAACTTATATACGTTTTATATTTTGTTATTTTTTCTCCAAAGTGTTAAACTCAGCAAATAAATAGAAATTGTGCACTACAAAATAGCAGAAAATGTCATATTTAATTGTGGTCTCTGTAGGGAATTTGATAAGTTTTTTTTACATACCACAAACGGATGAGGCTGGTTTGCTGCAGCAACCGTCAGAGCACCAGAGCTGATATACTGTCATAGAAAACACAGAGGACCCCAAGAATTAGACTCTTTGTTTTTTTGGTAACACTGTACAAATGCCATTGAAAAGCCCTTATTAAGCCTCATCAAGCCAGTAGTTGGTAATTCACTGACTTCTCCTTACTACATTATTTAGCTTTATCTAAAGTGAAGTGCACATTTTTATTTGGGCATTATAATTGTAATCTTTGAACATCAGTTTCAGGGTCCATTTTTGCACCCCTATGAATCCTTATCAAGCCAATAGCTGGTGAATAGTCAATAGTCAACAAATACTGATTAACTGGCTGCTCATTACTACATTATTAAGCAGTAACTAAGCCTAATGAAGTACTTCCCAAATTGATTTTCTTCTGTACATGATAATCTTCAGCACAACACTGGAGAGGGGGAGGCATTAGGGTAGCCCACATTCACAACACAGTAACTGTTACTTCAATTTTACTGTGTGATGTCTATCACTGAACATAAAATATGAAACTGCAACAAAACAAAAGCTTGTTGTTTTAGTCTTAACACTGTTATACTATGGTTAATAACACTAATACTGTGTTATGTTTAAATGATGTAAAAATGGATCTAATTATTAAAATCAAAAACATTTTTTAAGAATGTTTGGGGGCGTTGCCTTGAGGCAACATTGTGCAACATTTTTGTATTGTCATAAAAGTGTCATAAAAAATATTTTTTTATTTAAATATTTCGAATTAAACTGACTAACTACATGTTGATCCTTAAAAACACTTGAAAAAAATGCAGATTCATTTTATTTTTGTTAGTTTCAAGGAAACCATGTTAATATGATGCAACATCATGACACAAAATTTTATGTAAAACATAAAAGTAGTCATTTTTAATTACTCAGAGATGGCTTTCTTTTTCCTGACACAACTGACGGCACTCGTAAAACACGATATATAGTAAAATTTAAGTACAAATTTGTATGCGCACCTCGTGTGGTGCAGTAAAATGTGCTTCACTTTGCAAGCAAATGTATGCAAAAGTTTGGGCTCCCCTAATCAAATTATATGTGTTGTTGATTTCTACAGAAATTCTTCACTAAAGTGTGAAGATTTTTTTTTTCACTGTAGAGGATGTTTTAACTTATTTTTTATTAGAAGGTCAAAAAAAGTAATCTAAACCTAAACAATCTAAGGGTGTTCAAACTTTAGCCATGCTCTGATGGAAATAAAAAGTCCACCAAATGACATGGTGACAGGGCATTTTGTTGGCTTATTAAAACTGTTCCTTTTTACCATTAAATCTTTTAATGTAATAACTAACTATGATGTCATTAATGTTAGTCTGTTAACCTGAGGCAACATCAGGCAATAGAGGGTTACTTTAGGGTCTTGACTTAAACAATACAACACTGTATGATATACAAATGAAAGTGCTCAGGAAAATGTTTCACCTCAGTTACTACTTAATAACTTTACTTTTTATCAAGTATTAAACAACCAATTAAATGCCAACTACTGGCTGGATAGGCCTAATAAGAGTTTTACAAGGGCATTATAATATCCCCCTATAATTTTTATACAAGTAAGAATCAAAGCATCCAGGGTCAGAAAAACAACACAAAGTGGACATACGATCATTGATCCCCAGCGGCTGATGTTACTGTAGCCAGACACAGTGTCAAAGTGGACTGCTGACACAATCCCAAACAAATAGGTCATGATCCCAATCAGTATCTGGACAGTCTGTGGAGAACAAGACGAGGTGTTCAGACAATCTTATTTGTATTTGTATGTCTTTAACAAACAAAATCATTCTTGTTTGTATCTGTATTTTCATACAAGAGCTGTGTTTGTACCCCTCTTACCCCCAGTGCTTTCGGCTCTCTGAGAGTGGAAACTTCCTGGAGCCCCCCTGGAGCTGTTTGTGGTGGGATCACATGGGTGAAGATGGTGAAGCCGTTTCCTGCATTTTCAACAGGTATAACATGGCTGGCCATCCTGAACACAAGCTGTTGAAGGGAATGAATGAGTGAATGAATGATTTTTATTGTATTGATTGTATCTTGTGATGATGGATGGACAAGTGGAAATAAAAGTCAATACAATCAAACAACATTAAGTCAAATGTACTGATCTAGTCTAATCTTACAATCCAGTTGTCTTCATTTTTCCTCAGAAAAACTCTGCGAGATGAGTAAATGATGTTTGGATAATATATGCAACGCATGAAAATGGCAAATTCACAATTAAAAATTTGACATTTACTAGCAAGGCGATATACATACATACAATTTGTACAGTGCCAATTGTACAAAACTTCATCTCAGCAGTTAGTGTTAGTAAAAACACTGTTTATCATTAGAATAAATACAAATAAACACTATTGCAGGAAAATAATAATGGCTTTCATTAAAATAGCTGAGATATTGTGAGGGGGTTCCTGATGTCTCTGTGCACTCCAGTCATCACATGGATTTGTTCAATTCCATCAGCAGAGCATTTAATATAACATAAAGTATTGATTTAAATCAGGTATTGGATACTAACAAAAACAGAAAAAAAAGTACTTCTTGTATATATTTTATTTGTATTTATGGTTGTTGTGTGCATCGTATTGTAAGCAAAAGCTTTGGTGCTCCTGGTTAAATAAAATTTTTGTTTTTTCCCAACAACGATGTTATTTCTGATTTCATTTTAGTGATTTTAGGAAATATTTTTAGGTTTTTTTTTTTTTGTATAAATTGTAAATAAGTATTTCATGACATTTTCTGTGTTCTAAAATTTAAAAATGTAATCACTTAACTGAGATTCAGACCTACAGATTGTTGGCTGAAATAATAAATACACTTATTATCAAATTTACCATGAACACACACACACACACACACACACACACACACACACACACACAAGCAAAAGCAGTTTGGCAATAGAAATGTTTTTCATCTTTTGAATAATATTAGAATCAAACCAAATAGAGGGAAACAAAACACTATTTACCTGAAGATGAACTCTGTTACTGTTAGCTCAGGGATCTTTATCTACAGGAAACCAATGCAGATTTGGAAACCAACTACAGAGCTGTTTTTGTGGGCGGGGTTGTGGCTAACTGATCTAAATGCCCCATGCCTTGTCTTATCTTCTATGTCCTTTCTTTGGTCTGGTTTTGCAACTGAACCCTTTTTTATTTTTTGAATTGTATCTTTCTATGTACATCATAGGATCATAGGATCTTCACTTCTGAATTCAGTTGCATATAAAAGCTTTAACACATTGCAACTGTATATTGTACATATGCAAAGGTTTGAACGACATGTTGATAAAATATGGCATGTTTCTGCAAATTTTACCACAAATTATATTCATTTTTTGGGGGTGGGGGGGTTCCCACCAATTTTCTCCCCAGTGTAGTAATTTCCAGTTCCACCCACTTGCTACGTCTCCCCCAGTCACACACTGATATTTGTTTTTTTCGACCATGACAATTTACAACAGGTACAGTGTTAGATATGAGCAGTGAATTCACAGCACTGTGAAGAAAATGATCTGTGAAGCTGTTCATCTGGGCACTAAGTGTTTATTTATTATTTGTACTATTTTGTGTTTATCTGGGCACTAAGTGTTTATTTACTATTTGTACTAAACACTGTGTTTATTTATTATTTGCATTTATTGTAATGCTGTACTAAGATAACTTTAGAATATATACAAATAAACATAAATAAAGTTATGAATGTGTTGGGAGCAAACAGTAAGAGGAACACAGGTTTGGTTCCTCAATGACTTGTTTACTTGTTTATTTGTATTTATTCTAATGTTGTGTTATAAAAATTTACGACAAAATATAATTTAGAACTTAACAGAGATAAATTTAGAAGCTAACACTGCCAAGCCTCCCGCTGAGGACGCCTCCTCTGCCTGTTCCCCTTTTTCCCTGCAGGATCACTTGAGTCTATGAACTGTCTAGAGGACTCCAACTCCCATGAGTCAGTGGGAGATCACATGACTCTTCTCACATTGCCATCTACCAATGAATGGAATGAATTCATTCCAGTGTTCCTCCTCTCTGGAATTCTAAGTTGTCCCACCTGTTAGTCATTACATTTTATACAATTACTCAAGCTGATTGGTTGAGAAGGGTTCTAACCGTGCTGTTATTTTGCCATAACATCACATGTTTTTCCACAAACACTGTATCACTCTGCTGAGAGGCCATTGCTAAGCAACGACTTTGACAGCTGTAGGAGATGCTCAAGCCATTTGAACATTTTTACTTGTTACTTTTCGCACAAGCAGAAAATGGATACTTTTAAGATCACATTTGACCGACAGCCGATTTGGTCAGACTCTGAAGATGAGACTACACTAAATTTCCAAACTGTCATTACCACTGAGGAAGCTTCTCAGTCAGCAGCTGTGATAGAAGAACAGCTAAACAACCTGGAATCAGCCAGAAATGAACCCAATACCATTCGTCAAACAAAATGGGCTGTAAAATGCTTTACAGACTGGCTGGAACAAAACAACATTAATATTGATCTAGCAAAAATTGACAAAACTGAGCTAAACTTGATATTGCCACAGTTTTATGGCTCAGTCCGATTTGGTCAGACTCTGAAGACGAGACTACACGTTTGGCGAATGGTATTCGGTTCATTTCTGGCTAATTCCAGGTTGTTTAGGTGTTCATATAGGTAACATATTTAAGTTTGTTGCCTGTTTTCATTTAGAAGGACATCAAACATATAATTTGATCTGTGGTGTTCAAGTTTTTGTATATGACTGTAGCTGTGCTCTCATGGAAAAAAGGAAAAAGAAAATCGTAAAAGAGAAAGTCCAAACCCTTTATTCAAACCCATCCTTTTATCACTAACCCTTTTATTGTAACAGATAATTATGATGCCATTAAAATCATGGAAATTAGTCTGTTAACCTGAGGCAACAGGCAACAGACGGTTAATTTGTGATCTAGACTTAAACAATACAACACTCTATGATAGGCAAATGAAAGTGCTCAGAAAAATGTTTCACTGTAGTTACTGATTAATAACTTTTCATCATGTTATAAGCAACCAGTTCAATACCAACTACTGGCTGGATAAGGACTAATAAGAGTGTTACAAGGCCATTATAATATCCCCCTGTATCTTTTATACAAGTATGAATTATAACCACCATCATGGTGTACAGGGTCAGAAACACAAACACAATATAACAATATAACACAAAGTAACACAAAGTGAACATACAATTATTTATCCCCAGTGGCTGATGTCGCTGTAGCCAGATATGGTTTCAAAGTGGACTGCTGACACAATGCCAAACAAATAGGTCACGATCCCAATCAGTATCTGGACAGTCTGTGGAGAATAAGACGAGGTGTTCAGAAATGATCTTATTTGTATTTGTATTTCTTTGATAAACAAAATCATTTTTGTTTGTATCTCAATTTTCATAAAGGCCAGACTTGTGTTTGAACCCCTCTTACCCCCAGTGCTTTCGGATCTCTGAGAGTAGAAACTCCCTGAAGCCCCCCGGAGCTGTTTGTGGTGGGATCACATGGGTGAAGATGGTAAAGATGGACATTAATAATTAATGAATTTATAATTATAATTATATTGTGTGATGACAGATGGACTAGTGGAAATGAAAGTCAATAAAATCAGTAGTTAATTCACTAGTTAATTTTACAATCCAGTTGAAGTAATCTGTAATCTTAATCTGTGATCAGCAAAATTCTGTGAAATGAGTAAATGATGTTTGAATAGTACATGCAAGTACTAGCCAGGTTGTATACATACATACATACATAGATACATACATACCTTACTGTACAATTTACACCTAAGAGAACTGTGTAAAATGTCATCTTAGCAGTTAGTGTGTTTTTGCTAGTATTAGAATAAATACAAATAAACATTATTGCAGGAAAATAACTCTTTTCATGAAAGTAGTTAATATCAGTATCATTATATCATTAGTCCATGTATCATATCATATCATGTCACCTATAATATAATGTTTTGTACTGTAGCATCAGCAGTAGAAGAAACACCGAGGAGGCCATGTTTCTGCTGCAAGCAGTGCTCTTTTTTAAACACACCAGCAGGAAGGCATATACAGAGCACTGAAACCTTGGGGGAAGTCACCACTAGCCACACACTTCACCCTGATGGTGACTCCCTGCTTACATGCAAAACACACTGACAACCCACATCCCATTTGTGCTTTGTGTGTGAAAATAAAATGAAAATGTATGCCTTCAGTTTCCTTCTATCTCCCAGGGTTACGATTATCTACTTATTGCTGTCTCTTTATTGTTTTTTATGCTTATTATATATATATATATATATATATATATATATATATATATATATATATATATATATTGTCTGTTATCCTATTATTACATGCGCACTCATGTCTTTGTCTTAATGTTTATCCATGGGAGAAGCTGCCACCTTAGGAGCAACTGAACACCAGCACAAGTGCCAGTGGAGGATCCCTGGGGGCCTTGGGTGATGCACATGAACAGCACCCTCACTGACATCGACAATGCAGTGAACAACAGAGAAAGTAGAAGGCGGCTGAAAGAAGTGCTGCTGCTGTTGCCCCCAGTAGCTCTAGACTTGATGGTGTGAGCTGTGACTTGCTGAGTGCAGTGCATGTAACGGCTGGCATGGAGCACTTCTGCATGGACAAGACCAGTACTCAACAAAAAAGAGACTGTGCTGAGCCAGGAGGTGTCATCTTGCTGAGAGAGGACTGGAGGCACCTGTTGTGGAGGAGTAGGAACTCTGTGGCACTTGGGCGGGACCAGGATGGTAGAAAGGCCTGGGGCTCCTGCAGCACACAGGCCGCAGCATGGGTCACACTTGGAGGCACATATTAGAGATTTTATTCAGGCTGTGTGGGTTGCCAGGACAGCTGACCATGCCACATGCTGGGGGGCTGGGGGGTGTTGCCCACTATGAACAACTGAATCGACTAGATCTGTACACAGACTGTTGACAAATATTTAATTAAGAGACAAAATCAAAATAGAACGAAGAGAATAAAGAGGGAGGGTAGAAAATAGAAAAAAAAAAAACAATGTGAAAGATACTAAAAGAGATTGAATAGAAGAAAGAGAGTGAATAGAAGCCTTGATGTCTGTACACATGCAGGTCTGAAGAGACATATAATATCATGCCAGTATGTTCATTACCTGAAAAGACAAAACAATATGCAAATAAAGAAGGTATGTATGTGTCATGCCTCCCTCCGGCTCTGTAGTCATTAGCACTCTGAACACTGATCCTATCCCAGATCTCAACTCCCAGAATCCTCTGGGAGAGCATGTGACACTCACCTTACCTGTATTAGCCAGTCATTGAGCAGCCTTCAGATCCCGGTCACCTGAATTCTTACCGACTGCACCTGACTGTCATCACTGTACCCTAAAAAGATTGGTTCACTTTGCTCACTTTGTTTGTTCTAGTGCACACCAAGCATTCTTTCTCTACTGCTACTCTGTGTTTGACCTGGCTTGTTTCTTTTGACCTTGTTTTTTATCTTGTCCTTTTTGGCTTAGTCTAATGTTTCTTATTTTTTTGTCTCTCAGTTTTGACCTGAACTATCCGTTTAATATCTATAATGATTGTTAATAGCCTCTGTCTGGTTTTGACCCTCGCCTGTTTTACTACTTTGTGTTTGATTGGTCCTCGTTACACTAAAAAAACAAAATAACTCTTACTTTTACTGTGAGCATCTGGTCTTCTCAGCCACATAACTCCAAAAACATAATAAAAAAGAAAGGGTTGGGATGTGACCTAGCCCACGCTTGTGGGAGAATAGCCCCATATTGGTATTTTATGACCAGCTCCAACTGTGTAATGTTAACATGTCCCACATTTTACCCCAATTGTTCTGCTCTTTCCGCCAGATATATATTGTAATGTTGTTAGAGAGAGAGGCCATTAAAGAGAGAGAGAGAGAGAGAGAGAGAGAGAGAGAGGGAGAGGGAGCAACAGTACGCAACAGTGCACATTTCTCACACATTTATGTAAAAAATGCAAATCTCCTGCATAAACTTGCACTCATTAGAAAAGACAGCCAATCCTTACCTAATGTTCTAAATGCAAAATTGGCCTTTACATGGCCCAAAACCATAATTAGTGCTTTATATCTGTATTAATATGAATGATTCTTACACTTAGAAGCTGAGAAGAAGGTATGTCAAGTCAGTGTCATTGTCTACCTTTTCTCAATTAATGAATTAAGTATATTTCTTTAGTTAAAAAAACAGATGTAGTCAGGCAGGCAGGTTTGGAGGAATCAAATTGCAAGTCATTTATCTGGACAAAATATTTTATAAAATTCTGGTCGTCTGTTGGTTGCTGGTTGTGAAATTGTGGTTTTAAGTCAAAGATATCTAAAGTTTCTTGGCAGTTTGAGGTGCACCCAAGCTTTAAGCTTCTTCAGTTTTTAAACCAAAGTGACATGGCTTGGTGTGCTACTTTGTAAGGTTATGTCATGAATTCCTGCAAATGACTTTAGCTTATCCAGGGGGAGAAGTCTTTTGTTAAAAATCTAGAAAAGAGAACAGCCACCTCGTGTGAGGACATTACTTTTATTTTCATAAAAGAAAAAGGAAATAATACAGATCCCTTTCCTCTTTATGGAAGGCTGTGACCTGCTCAGCCCCCTCTTTAATTATCTGCTAATCACAAAGGTTCACATACTTTTGCCATTCACAGATATCAATCAATCTATCAGTCAACCTTTATTTATGTTGAAGGAAGTTTGCGCCTGTCCACCAGTCATTTGCATGTTCAGCAACTGGTGGTTGAGTCTGACCACAGTGGCGACTTGACTAGTTTGCTTTGTATTATGACTCTGATATTTAGTCTAGCCCCTTCTGGCCTGATTAGCCTCATGCAGACATTAAGACTTGTCCCGCCCTGCTGTATGTGCAATAAGATCATGATTAATTTGTTTTTGTTATTAATTCAACAGCTAATTATTCAATTTTACTTTCATTGGCCACTTTATTAGAAACACCTACCTTGTACTTCCATTAACTGGCTACTTTATTAGAAACACCTACCTTGTGCTTCCACTCATTGGCCACATTATTAGAAACACCTATCTTGTACTTCCACTTACTGGCCACTTTATTAGAAACACTTACCTTGTACTTCCACTTATTGGCCACTTTATTAGAAACACCTACTTTGTACTTCCACTCATTGGCCACTTTATTAGAAACACCTACTTTGTACTTCCGCTCACTGGCCACGTTATTAGAAACACCTACCTTGTACTTCCACTAACTGGACACTTTATTAGAAACACCTACCTTGTACTTCCACTCACTGGCCACTTTATCAAGATCTCATTCCTTATAGCTCCGCTACACTATAAGAATTAAACAAATATTGAGGAACCCTTGATAGTCTACAAGTTCTTGCACCTGAAACCTTACTGGGTTTTTTCAAGGCCCATTCTTCAGTTCTAGATTCCTGGAGGAACTGTCTTCTTTTGAGTGAGCCCTTTGGGGATTCTTCGAAGAGCTGATAATCCTAAAGGGCCTATTTTAAGAACGCTAGATTTTTAAATCCTCTTGTATTCCAACAAGTTCCTTGAGGAACCAAAAAGTTTGCTGATGCTGGTCAGTAATAGACCTCAAACCTCAAAATAAATGAAAGTTCCTTGAAGAACCTAGCACTTTAAAAATGATTCCTTCAACCATACAAAGAGATTACAGGCTTTGCTGGATAAAGCTGAACCTTGTACATTACTGTAGGTTCCTCAGAGAACTGCCCTTTTCAAGAAGGTTCCTCGAGGCTCCCTAAAGGGTTCTGCCAGTGTGGCAAGCTGAGGAACCCCAAAAGGTGCCTTGACTGTCCTTTCAATTTTACAGTGTACATGGACCGACCATTTCATTAAAACCACCTCCTTGTTTCTGCACTCATTGTCCATTTTATCAGTGTCTCTGACCATATAGGAGCACTTGGACCTTTTCGCCCTGTTTTCACCCTGTTCTTCAGTGGTCAGGACCTGAGCAAGACCACCACAGAGCAGGCATTATTTGGGTGGTGGTCTATTCTCAGCACTGCAGTGACACAGACATAGTAGTGTGTATGGTGCTGGTATGAGTGCATCAGAGACAGCGGTGTTGCTGGGGTTGTTACACACATCGGTATCACTGCTGGGTCAAGAGTTACAAAAGAGCAGCTCTGTGCTCAGAAACTGACCATTCATTAAGGGTTAGAGGCTGGCCAAAACAAAATGTGCATCAAAGTTTAGGGATTCAGTAAAAGGGGGTTGTTATAAAGTGGTCACTGAGTTTATGACAGCATTGACCCAAATTACACTGCCTTGCCAAACATGTTAATTTATATAAAGTTTTATTGGAAATGCAGCACAACTTGTGTTTACTTACCACACAGGGATGAGTTTGGTTGATTGAAACTATACACAGAGCACCAGAGGCGATATACTGGTATAAAAAATGGAAACAAAACAAGAAGCTTTGTTTTATCAATTATGAATGAAGATCACCATTTAAAATCAAGAGGAAATGAAGACAACGTAAAGTGAACCTACACTACATGATCCCCAAAAGGTGACACCACTGAAGACGGACACTGATTCAAAGTAAACAACTGACACAATTCCAAACAAGAGCGTCATGATCCCGATCATTATCTGGACAGTCTGTGGAGAACAAGAGACAATCAGAGCAAAGTGTAAACATGCCCAGTGTAAATATTAAAGAAAACTAGGCCAGAACTGTTTTACCCCCAGTGGCTTTGGCTCTCTATTCAGAAGTTTTTAAGTGGGCCTCCAGTGGAGACTCCGGCTCCAGTCCCAGGGCCATATTGCTCTGTTCCTCCTGGTACCACATGGGTCACAATGGTGAAGCCATTTCTTGCATGGTCAACAGATACAACACTGGCGGCCATCCTGAACACAAGGTACTGTATACAATGTGAAGGCAGTGAAAAAATATTTTAAACAATCAAAAAAGATTAAACAAAGAATTCTTGTAATACTTACTGAATTATTTCAAAATTTCCAACAGAGAAATAGACACAAGTTTTTAACTAAGAGAGAGAGAGACAGAGAGAGACAGAGAGAGAGAGAGAGAGAGGGAGAAAGAGAGAGAGATTCAGTCTTTATAGGATCTACATTGTCATGTTAGTGCTAAGCTAACGGTGATGTACATTCAATTTTCTATACTGTAGATTTTTTCAATTTTCTAATACTATAAAGATCAAGCTTAAACACTCAGATTATTGGACATGCATGTAACATATTTTTACTTTGTTTATTGCAGTATTCAGTGAATCTAGTAGAAAGTTTACTACTTAAGTTGAAGTGTCAGTAAATACTTTAACTTAAAGCCTAATTGTGAGTATTGATTAGCTGTTGAAATGATCACATTTCTGAAAAAACTGAAATTCCTCTGTTCGGACTTGACTCCTTAAAAAGTATTTAAGATACAATTTAACTGCAATTTAAAAACTGCTATTTTAACCCTTAGAACCTGAAACATGCCAGTAATGTCATAAAGCTGTGACGTCAGCATCAGTGAGTAATTCGGCTAGGAAAATCACCCAAATTCCTGATATTATTGCTCTGTTTTTCGGCCTTCATATTTCAACAAACAGTTACAAAAGCACAACAACATGATTCACACACCAAATCACTCATCAGACTCTGCCCTCACCATCCAGAGTGATTTCATCCACCTATGACCATCCATCAGCAGCAGTCCCGCTCCAAAATCACCCACAACCCAGTTGGCATTGTCCCAATCCACTACACCACTGCACTTTCCCTCTTTCCCTCAAAATCACACTAAAACACATTTTAACAGATAACAATAAATATGACACTGTTTATTATAAAATTAAGAATATTTAGGTCTGTCTTTCAGTTTACATTGATTATGAGTGCTAAACTCTATTTGTACTTGAAAATTGTAAATAAAATCTTGCTAAGTTTCACAGTTTTAGCACTCAGCATGAGTCCATGAGGACAGAAAATCAATAAAAACATGGCCGCCTTGTGCTAAACGTTTATTTTTACTTATAATAACCAGTAGAATGAACCATTAGAAACTAACGATTTCTGAAAAGCTATCTGAGGTGCCACTTGTTTTCAAGATCTCAATAAGCAAAAAAATAAGAAAATTTGCAGGTGCTAGGTAAATTCTTGATCAAAAATAAGCCAAATTCATCAAGATATCAAATTTCTGTTAGCATTTCCATTTCAAATAATGGCATATCTGAGTAGCCCAGGATCCTCTGAAAATAACAACATATGGTATGTACTTTATAATTGCAATTGTAGTTGTAATTGACCCAAAATACCATTCTAGGCTTCTAAGGGTTAACTCTTTCATTCCCTAATATTTGCGTACACATATACATTATTCAGAAAAGAGAACATTGTTGATTACAGTAATATACCACTGTCAAAATATGTAGTCATGAAAAAAATCTAAAAATGCAGCATAATATGTCATTACTCTAAACAAACATTACTGAATGAGTGCTGTAAATATTCAACCAACATTGCTGCTAGTAAGTTTTTGATGTGTGGTTAATCTGTTTCTGGGAAAATCTGTGTGATGTGAGCAGATAACGTGAGTCATACAATGGAAAAATTGATGACATTGTAGCTCCTTTCACACACTGTGGTCATTCAAAGAGCTTTACAAATGATAAAATACAAAGATAATTCAAAATTTAAAACAATGGACAAAATATAAACAGGATTAAAACATGAGTAAACAATAGATTTTAAAAGAGAAGAAATTAGTCATTAAATTAGAATCAAATTAAAAACTGCATTAGGATAATAAAGTGCCCTTACAGGACTGATGCACAGTACAGCTAATATTTGTGCACAAATACACTATTCAGAAAAGCAAACTTTGGGCCTTATTCACTGATCATTCTTGAGAAGAAATTTCTTCTCAAAACCCACTTGTGCAGTTTTCATGAAGTGTCCGACATTCACTCGTGTTTTCTTATTTAGGGTTTGTTCTTTGGTAAGAACAGAATCTACACACACTCATGAGCACGAAGGTGAGAACAGTTCCGCGCTTTAAGAACACGTCATGAATCAGATGTACACTTTTTCTTAGGACGCTTCTCAAGGACATATTTAAGAAAACTTACTGGTGAATGAATGTAAATGTAATTTTTTAAAAGCATATAATGTAAAATGTACTGTTGCATTTGTATTTTTTAAGTTGTATTGACTTCATACACACTTGCTTTTATCTAAGCGCTATCACTAATGCTAACACTAACTATACACTACTGGGATTCCAAGGGGTGATATAAATGAGCACTTAATGTAGAGTTTTGACTGAGTTTTTACATTCATGGCCTGAATGTCTAGTTCCAATAGTCTCAGTTCCCCAATGGATTTTAACACTTAGAGTTCTGGTATTACTATCAGCATTTTACTACCATATTAAGATGTCACTATATAGTCAGTTGCATAGTTAGTTATACAATGAATTAAATTTATATTTGGTTTGCATTCTGAACAGATTGTTTTTTATTTTTTTAAGTTGCACATATGCACAAATTTGAAAAAGACAATAAATAAATAAATAAATAAATAAATAAGTAAATAAGTAAATAAATAAATAGGTTAGGAATTAACAGAAATATAAAGATTGGCTTTCTTTTCTAACTAAGGTTAGCCTAAGGCCTTTTTTTTGCGTCACATTAACCCAAAGTTAGCTAGCTAATAAGCAACCAAGTAAACACAAAGATTATGGTAAAAAAAAAAACTCAACAGCCAGCTATACTGAACATAACTGGCCACAAATCCACATTGTATCTTCACTCTAAAAGCTCTTTGTGAGCTTTTAGTGAAAAACCTGTTTTCAGCTTCAGAGGTTGCCATCTTTTGTTACTTTGCAGAGCAAGTAAAATCAGAGCCCCAAGGTCTGATATGTTTGGCTTACAATTTGGAGGGTCTGATTGGATTAGATGAACCAGGAGCTCCACTGTTCATGTTATTTTAGTCAGTATATTGTGAATCTGGAGAGGTGGTTGCTTGGCTGAATATTGAAGAATGAATGAAAATAAACAATAGATGATTTGAGCCAAAAATTTATTTGGGAAGGGTGAGCTAAATAACATTTAGGGGGAGGGCTAAACCCCCTAAAACTGGCCTAGCGAGACCCCTGCTGTACATGCAACACTAACTTTAAAAACGAATTATTATTGTTATTGTTGTTACTGCAGCTCTTAAGGAAGACAAATATAAGCCTATTCTTTATGAAGGGTGTTCATTCAGTTAATCAACTCATAAATAATATTCTGTACCTTTATTCAAGATTGTTGATTCAGATTGAGAGACACATCTCTGTTTATAATGGGGTTTTAGTAAAAGTTATATACATCTGCAGTGAGGAATAATTCATCAAATGTGCATGATGGTTTTCGATTGCATGCAGTATGGCTGTGACTGGCTAGAAAAAGGAATGACTGAATGATTGATGTCCTTCAGGAAAGAGGCTTGATTCCAGCAGTAGTTCTGTAAATCCAGATTGTTCGAGGCTAAGTTGAAGCTAAATTTTGCAGGCTAGTAGCTGTGGTGATGAAACAGCATTAGATAAAAAGGAAACATGATAAAAATGATAATAGTTACTCACAGTGTCAATAGAGTTGGCTCTGCTAAATTTATCACCAAACTTAATTTGCTTAAAGGCTGTTGGCAAGTTCCATTGACTCCCCGCACATCTGACATTTTAGCATATGTGACGCCTGACAGTTTTCTACAGTATACAGTTCTTCTGTTTGGTTTACAAAATGCTCCTGCCACTTTTCAAAGATTAATGAACCTAGTACTTACTGGAGTTTATAACTGTAAAGCATACTTGGATGATATACTATTCACATACTTGGGCTGACCATCTGCGGACTCTTTCTGAGACTCTTTTTCTTGTTTACAAACAGCATCATTCACACTATATCTGGCAAAATGTGAATTTGCAGAAGCTGTGGTTACTTATCTAGATCGGAAAATGGGTCAAGGTCAAGGTTGTCCACTGAATGCCAAAATCTCTGCTATTTTGGATTTTCCCATGCCTACGAATCAGCTTGAGTTAAGGCGATTTCTAGGTATGGCAGCATATTACTGTGCCTTATGTCGTAACTTCCAGCTTTGTTTCTCCTCTTACTGCTCTGGATTGGTTATTTGTGTGGTCAGAAGAGCATAAACTGTCCTCTGATTCTGTTAAAGCTCTCTTTTGTAGTTCTTCAGTTCTTGCTGCGCTAGACAACACGGATGTGCTCTTTAAACTTAAAGTGGATGCAAGTGGAAAAGGTGCTAGTGCTGTATTGTTGCAGGAGGACCAAAACAGAGTGAAACATTCTGTTTGTTATTTTTCTAAGAAATTTAATAAATATCAGGTAAACTATCGTACAATTGAGAAATACTTTGTGACAGAGCAGGTGTTATTGGGGTGGTGGATTATTCTCAGCAATGCAGTGACACTGATGTGGTGGTGGTGGTGTGTTAGTGTGTGTTGCACACAGTGCTGCTGGTGTTTGTAAACAAATCAGTGTCACTGCTGGACTGAGAACCAAATCATCCAGCCAACAGCATCCTGTGGGCAATGTCCTATGACCACTGATGAGGGACTAGAGGATGACCGACACAGTGTTTAAAAACTAATGAATTAATGATAATAGGCAGTGAATTTAGAAACAGGGAGATGTTTGTAATAAAGTGCTCAGTGAATGTATAGTTAAACTTTAGAACTTAACAAAAATAAATGTAGACGTTAACAGACTGAAATGTAGAAAATTAACCACAATCAATTTAGAACTTAAGAGAGAAAAATAGGAGTTAACAAAAAAATTTATTTAGGATATTACAAAGATAAATTTAAGACATAGCAACAACAAATTTAGAACATCACAGAAATTTATTTAGAACTAGAAGCAAGAAATTTATATATTATCAGTGAAAAAATTAAGACAAAAATGAATTTACAACTTAAAAAAATATTTCTGAGGAAGAAAATATCAGTTTAGAACTTAAAGTAGCAATTTGTAAGATTTTTAGTTTATTCCAAAATTAACAAAAATTATTAATAGAATGTGAAGAAATAACAGTTTTGACATTACGTCAAAGATGTCTATGTACCATGATGCAGAGATATCTATTGAAGTAAGCATGCAAACCAGATAGCCCCAGCCTGTCCTGTCCTGTAATACCACTTTGTAACTCAGGGGTGATAGTGAGTCACTGTAGCGATTTCTCTTGGTAAGAAAAGGGGTAAAGTTTGTAGAGTGTGAAGAGAAATATAATTTAATATTTTCCTCTTTTGAAAATCTTAAAATTTGAAGCATTGTCAGCCAGATTGGGTGTTTCAGGAGTGTTGCCTATGAAGAGAAAGAGCATTTCATAATCATTCAGGCATCAGATCAGATGAAAATTGTGTGACTGCTCACTGACAGCACCAAAGAAAGAAAAAGTCAAATATTTAAAAACCCAGTTAATACAGCATCTGACTGATCGGAGCTCCAGCACAGTGGGTGGCTTTGTAGGTAAACACAGAAGTGCAGATGGAGATGATGAACTCGAGCAGAGAGAACACCAGGAGAACTCCACTGATTCCACCTGACTGGCCATGAAAAACATTCATCTGTTAACTGCAGAAAAGTGTAAATTGTCCACTGAAAAAGCTGATGATAATGATAAAAGATCTCTCACATGAACATTAAAACTCTGATAAGTACCACAAACATTCTGCAACTCAGGATCGATGAACATTTTCTGTAAAATATATTCTCTGAACAGAATAGGTTAACTTATCTACATTTCACAAATAGTAGGGCTTTTCAAACTTTTGCAGATGTTTCTCTGCATACTTTCTTACCCTGTTCTTCAGTGGTCAGGACCCCATGGACCCTCACAGAGCAGGTACTATTTGTGTGGTGGATCATTCTCATTCTTAGTGTGTTAGTATGTGTTATGCTGGTCTGAGTGGATCAGACACAGCAGTGCTGCTGGAGTTTTTAAACACCTTAGTGTCACTGCTAGACTGAGAATAGTCCACCAACCAAAAATATCCAGACAACAGCGTCCTGTGGGCAGCGTGACCACTGATGAAAAACTAGAGGATGACCAACACAAACTGTGCAGCAGCAGATGAGCTATCATCTCTGACTTTACATCTACAAGGTGGACTGACAAAGTGGGAGTGTCTAAAAGTGTAGACAGTGAGTGTACACACCACCTCATCAGTGTTACTGCAGTGCTGAGAATGATCCACCACCCAAATAGTACCTGCTCTGTGAGGGTCCATGGGGGTCCTGACCACTGAAGAACAGGGTAAAAGGTGGCTAACAAAGTATGCAGAGAAACAGATGGACTACAGTCTGTAATTGTAGAACTACAAAGTGCACCTATATAGTAAGTGGAGCTGATAAAATGGACAATGAGCATAGAAACAAGGAGGTGGTCATAATGTTATGCCTGATCAGTGTATATACTAGCACACAAGACAAGGAACACCCGGGATTCATGAGAGGGTAGGGCTAGGAAACAAGGAAGATGTAAAGGCTGAACTCAGGGCAGGACAGGGGAGGAGCTGACAACAAAAGCACATGGCACTAGAATACAAAGACACATGGTAGATGTAAGCAAAAGCAGATGTCACAGAGAAACTAGGAAACAAAGGCAAAAACAAAGAAAGACAGGGACAGAGAGAGAGAGAGAGAGAGAGAGAGAGAGAGAAAATGTTACAGCAGCACATCCAGAGCAATTTAATCAAGAGATACACACCAACATTTCACAGTAGTCTTCATAAGAATCTTGATCGGAACAGAAATAAAGTGAACGTTTTAGCTGACAGAACATGTCAAATGACAGCAGAACAATGGCTACTCCTGCAGTCACAGCACTGATTATATTCATCACCAGGGAGCTTCTCACCTACACAAGAGGAGAAACAAAGATGGAGGTGGAGCAACAAATGAGGGGTTTCAGATAAAGTGGACATTGCGCATTAACTTATGATAACATTTTTTATATATCCATTATCTTTCCAAACATATTAATTTACAATAAAATCTCACTAATATAATCAAAAATACACTACATGCTGTGTTTACTTACCACACAGGTATCAGCTCTATTGCCTGCAGCAACAGACAAAGATCCTGAGGTGATATACTGAAGAAGAAGAAGAAGTAGAAGCAGAAGAAGAAGAAGAAATTGAAAATGAAATTCGTTTTGTTTTTGTCACATTTGGATAAAAACATAATCAGGAAATACAGGAATATAAAAGCAGCACAAAGAGAACCTACAAAACATGATCCCCAGTAGGTGACGCCAGTATAGGCACCCACATGTGGAACATAGACCGTTTTAATAATGCCAAACAAGAGTGTCATGATCCCGATCATTATCTGGACAGTCTGTGGAGAAGATAATCAGAGATAATCAAGCAAAGTAGACATGTAAACATGCCCAGTGTAAATATTAACGAAAACTAGACCAGATCAGTCTTACCCCCAGTGCCTTTGGCTCTCCTTCCAGAAGTTTTTTAACTGAGACTCCGCCTCCAGCCCCGAGGCCATATTGCTCTGTTCCTCCTGGTACCACTTGGGTCACGATGGTGAAGCCATTTCTTGTGTTCGTGACAGGTACAAAACTGGAGGCCATCCTGATCACCAGCCTGTATAAAATCTAATGACAATAAAAAGAATAATTTCTTGTTTTAAATTTTCTGAAATGAATGTGATTTTCCAGCACTGAAAAATGAAAATTTTGTCGAATATGATAAAAAAATATTCTCACTTGTTCTATGATTAATCTTGTAGTACTGGAAGAAATCTAATGTCTATAAAGAACAACTGTGTGTGTGAAATGTGTGAAGTCCAGGACTACAAGACTGACGAACAGTTTCTATTCACAGGCCATCAGGCTTGTGAACACCTCTCTCACTACCTCTTCCCCCCCTCCCACTGACTGTACCTTAGATACACTGTACTGCTTCTGTCAGAATACTACTGTTTACATCTGTTACTTGCACAGAACACTACTGTTTACATCTGTTACTTGCAACACGCACTTTATGAACCGCTGCTCTACAAACTTGCACATACGCACACTTAACTTTTCTTTCAACTTTGCACATATAATTGTATTTTTTTACTTTAGTTTTTAGTGTATTTCTACTTATTCAGTGTATATAATATGTTCTTATACTTTCTATTTTTTCTAAGATTATATTGGTGAATGGAGGAACAGCAAAGTAAGAATTTCACTGTACAGTATAACTGCCTGTTTCTGCTGTGAATATGACAAGAAAACTCTTGAACTGTACACCAATGTCAATTAATTCTCAGGAAATTCATGCAATGTAGTCTGATCTCATAACTATTCAGTTTGATTTATAATTCTCTAAGAAACGATTCAGTGCATTTTGGAATAACATTTGATGCAATAATTGTATCCAATAATTTGGTACTATTACTACTGAATATTATTTCAGTAATAAAAAAAATTGAAATATATAGATTATTCTACCATACTGGTCCAATGTCAGAGCTGAAAACTAAATGACTTGGACTTATAGTCATTCGACTAAAACTTAGTCACACTATACCTTAATGATGTTTATTATATTAAAACAAATGATTTAACGTTCCATTATGTACTTTCCAGTATGAAAATACTTACATGGCATCTACAGAGGAAATTTTTCTAACACTTACTACTTCAATAGTTGTTGTAATTCAATTACCACATTAATACAATAGTATTACAAGATAAACTGTTTGCAATAAAATCTTTTCGAACAGAATCTCAACACGTCAGATAACTCTTCACTTATTACAAGCTAAACCTGCTTTCCACACATGAAGCCAGGGGGGGGCGGGAGGGGTTGGGATTTTGAGAAACACTGAATTTGATGCAGGAAGAAGAGCTGTTTTAAGTACAGGGTCAGCTGAAAATGTGAGAGGAATTTGTCAACAACATTTTCCTCCGTAAAAATTAAATTTGCTTTTCTAACAGAAAAATCAGTCAGAAAGTCCAAACAAATCAAAACATGACTTTTAAATGCAGCTGTAAATCGGCTGTGTGGGTGAACGTGGATTTTATACATGTTAAGAAACATTGTTGAAAATCCAGTTTCATCCACTTCAGTGCATTTTATAAATATGCCCCAGTTTCTTCAATATTATTCTTGATATTTACATTTTAACCTGAAACCAAAATGCCTTTTGGAGAAAGAAATTATTCTTCGTTTTGATTCACTTAAATCCTGTTATAACTGTCTATCAGGTAATAACATTGTTAATCGTCTTATATATACACAGGAAGCAGCTACTTTTAAATACATTTAAATACATTCTTCTCTCATGTATATGCCTAAATGTGGTATTTCCTTTGATATGTAAAGAACATGATCTGATAAAATACATTTTAAACAAACACATGAATAAAAATATTCGTGCTTCAGTGGCCTTTTGTTATTTTAATTTATTTTACTGAAAAATAGGCATTTCCATAGTGATATGAAAGGCATTCTAAAACTATCGCAGTGCATCCAACAATAAATGCAGCATGGATCTTCTTTTATACAGTGACAGGAAACGCAGCTCACAAAATGCTCCAGTCCTGCATGCTAATCCAATCTTCACTTTTTCAATGATAAGAAAATGCGCTGAAATATGATGGAGGCTTATTTCCAATATCAACAAGGTGATTTTCAGTAAAGAAGAATATAGTTGTACGCAAAAGTTGGAAAACCCCAGTTTGCATGTTTGGTGGCTTTTCTTCGTTAAAGTAAGTTAACATATCCTGTACATTAAATACACTTAGGTATGTAATTATATTTTGATGTTAAATTGAATGTTACATTCAGTAAATAAACAGTAATTGTGCCTTAAAGTAGGCAAAAATGTGCTCCCTGTAGAGGATGTGGTAACTTACTTACACTTACAAAATCAACATAACATGCAGTTTGACCAGGGCACACAAATACTTACAAAAATCAACTGGACTAATGTTGTTGGATGTTAAAAAAGAAACATTTTTGAAAAAGTAAAGCAATTTTGAGACAAAATTTTTAAAACATTTCTAATTTAGTTTTATAGTGGACATTTTAATTTCATAGTGGAGTTAAAGGATATATTTTTATATTTTTATTTTTTAAAAATAGTAAATACATATTTTGTGTCATTTCTTGAGTTCTACAAATGAAAATTAAATCACTTAACTGAGATTTACAGCTACAGTTTGTTGGCTGAAATAATAGATACACTTATAAGCAAATTACTACTTTGATTATATTTTAACACACACGCACACACACACACACACACACACACACACACACACACACACACACACACATAAAAGCAGTAGATCGGCATTAGAAATGTTTTTATCTTTAGAATAATAGAAGGAAACAAAAATACTATTTACCTGAAGATGAACTCTGTTACTGTTGTGGCTCAGTGACGTTCGTCTACAAGAAACCACTGCAGATTTGGAAACCAACTACGGAGTTCTTTAGGGGGGCGGGGTTGTGGTGAACTGACCAAATGCCCCATTTCTTGCCTTCTCTTCTATGTCCTTTTTTAACCACACCTGTGTTCTTAAAAACAGATTCTTTTACAGTATGTTTTTTCATGTATATTTATTCTAATGTTATATTGTGCAAATTTTGGGCAGAAATTAAATTAGTAGTTAACAGAAAAAAATAGGACTTAACAAAAATAAATTTAAAATTTAAAAGTGACTCATTTAGTACTTGGCAGTATTTAACAACAATTCATTTAGGACTCAACAGAAAAATAAAATTAGGACTTCATAGATATAAATTTAGGATTTAACAGAACTATATTTAGAACTTAACAGAAATACATTTAAGACTTGATAGAAAAATAAAATTTGGACTTTTTTTGGAATTAAAATTTTTTTGGACTTAAAAGAAGCAAATTTAGAACTTAACAAAAAACAAATTTAGAAGTTAATAAAATACATGTAAGACTTAACAAAAATAAATTCAGAGCTCAAAAAATAAATTTAGGACTTGAAAAATTTAGAAATTAAAAGAAATAAAGTTTTGTGCTAAACATAAATAAACTGGGAATTGAACAGAGATGAACTTAGAACTTAACAACATTGAATTTAGAACTTAACAGGTATAATTTATGGTGAGTTAAGCGTTTTCCTCAGCCAGATTGTGTGTTTCAGGATTGCTGATAATAAACACGGCCTGTAAAAGAAAGAACATCTCATCATCATTCAGTCATCAGATCACATTCACTCACATTACAGTGCACTCAGATCAGTGATAAATAATCATTAAATAATGTGTGGCTGCTCACTTACAGCACTAAATGAAGAAAAGTTAAATATCTGACAGCACGTAGTGTTACGTGAACAAAAGAACAACAGACATTCACACTGTATTTATTTCATATTATGTAGTATATATTGGAGGCAGCATCTTACTGACCGGCGCTCCAGCGCAGCAGGCTACAAGAAACCACTGCAGATTTGGAAACCTGTGCAGGTGGCTTTGCAGGCGGATACAGAAGTGCAGATGGAGACAATGAACTAAAGCACAGAGAAAACCAGCAGCACTCCACTGATTCCACGTGACATTCTCCAAACACCATAAGACTATAAATTGCACAAAAGATTTTATTCCATTCCAGGGACCCTCCTTGAGGAAAAGCAGGGCCAACTGACAGGTAGCCTAATTGTTTTATCTGAAACAATAGGTAAATGCTGTTTCCTGATGGACGCTCTAATAAACCAAATGCTAGAAAAACAGAGAAGCATCAAACCTAGTCAGAAAATCAGCTCTGTTTTAGTAAAGGGAATTAAAAAAAACATGACAGCAGTTAAAAGTCCTCAGATTTCCCTCACCTGATAGGTAAAGTGGTAATATAAATAAGGAGTCATGTCGATAGACAGCAGAACGATGGCTACTCCTGCAGCCACAGCACTGATTATATTCATCACCAGGGAACTTCTCACCTACACAAGAGGAGAAACAGAACAGTTCATAGAGCAGCACTGTTTATCACCCTCCTCTACCTCATTCATCACTGGTCAGTTCTTGACCACAAGACCACTGTTGTCTGGTTATTATTGGGGTGGTGGTCCTTTCTCAGCACAGCACTGAGTCTGACATGGTAGTGTGTGTGGTGCTGGTACGAGTATATCATGTACATCAGTGCCACTGCTAGGCTAAGAGTGGACCAGCACCTCTGTGGTCAGAGCTGACCATTGATGAAGGACTAGAGAGTGGCCAAGAAAAACTGTATCAACAGATGAGTTACAGTCTCTGCTGCCAGATCTCTCACACCCCTCCTGGTTTATAATGGTGTAAATATATAGATGTATATGTGGTGTAAATTTTGAGATGGCCTTCATGCCTGTTTATCTATATTTGCTAGAGGTGTGAATCTCAGGCTGCCTCACAGTTCTGTTTTTGTTCCAGGGTGCCAAGATAAAATTCTAAAGTTACTCTCGATACAACTTCACGTTTATTTCTATACACTACACTTTGATATTTTGTATCATATCGTGATAAGGGGTACTGAAACAACCAAAAAAAAAAGGAACTTTACAGAAGAAGGAAAAAAGTGTTCTTAAAGTTTAATAGATGTTAATAAAGTAATCAACTATTCCATGTAATTTTGGAACATTTCTGTTGGTTGATCCATAATGATTTTCCAAGTAGAAATTTGTATGCGCACCTCATGTGGTGCAGTAATCACTTTGGTTTAAAATGTGCTTCGCTTGTATGCAAGCACAGGTATGCAAAAGTTTGGCCTCCCCTAATCAAATTACATGTGTTGTTGATTTCTACAGAAATTCTTCACTAAACTTCACTTCGCTGTAGAGGATGTGTAAACTTATTTTTTATTAGAAGGTCAAAAAAAAACATGTAATCTAAATGTGGGTGTTCAAACTTTAGCCATGCTCTCATGGAAATAAAAAGTCCACCAAATGACATGGTGACAGGGCATTTTGTTGGCTTATTAAAACTATTCCATTTTACCATTAACTCTTTTATTGTAATAACTAATTATGTCATTAATGTTAGTCTGTTAACCTGAGGCAACATCAGGCAATAGCGGGTTAATTTAGGGTCTTGACTTAAACAATACAACACTGTATGATATTCAAATGAAAGTGCTCAGGAAAATGTTTCACCTCAGTTACTACTTAATAACTTTACTTTTTATCAAGTATTAAACAACCAATTAAATACCAGCTACTAGCTGGATAGGCCTAATAAGAGTTTTACAAGGGCATTATAATATCCCCCTATAATTTTTATACAAGTAAGAATCAAAGCATCCAGGGCCAGAAAAACACAAAGTGGACATACGATCATTGATCCCCAGCGGCTGATGTCACTGCAGCCGGACACAGTGTTAAAGTGGACTGCTGACACAATCCCAAACAAATAGGTCACAATCCCAATCAGTATCTGGACAGTCTGTGGAGAACAAGACGAGGTGTTCAGAGACAATCTTATTTGTATTTGTATGTCTTTAACAAACAAAATCATTCTTGTTTGTATCTGTATTTTCATACCAGAGCTGTTAAGGTACCCCTCTTACCCCCAGTGCTTTTGGCTCTCTGAGAGTGGAAACTTCCTGGAGCCCCCCTGGAGCTGTTTGTGGTGGGATCACATGGATGAAGATGGTGAAGCCGCTTCCTACGTTTTCAACAGGTATAACATGGCTGGCCATCCTGAACACAAGCTGTTGAAGCTGTTAATGATCAAAAGTGAATGAATGAATGAATTAATGATTTTTATTGTATTGATTGTATCTTGTGATGACGGATGGACAAATGGAAATAAAAGTCAATACAATCAAACAAAATTTAGTCAAATGTAGTGATCTAATCTAATCTTACAATCCAGTTGTTTTCATTTTTCCTCAGAAAAACTGTGAAATGAGTAAATTTTTCAATAATATATGTAATGCATGAAAATGGCAAATTCACAATTAAAAATTTATATATATATATATATTGTATGGTTCAATTTGTACCTATGCCAATTGTATAAAACTTCATCTCAGCAGTTAGTGTTAGTAAAAACACTGTTTATCATTAGAATAAATACATTGCAGGAAAATAATCACTGCTATCATTAAAGTAGCTGAGATATTATGAGTGGGTTCCTGACGTCTCTCTGCACTCAAGTCATCACATGGATTTCAATTCCATCAGCAGAGCAAATTAGTAAGCTGATTATATTTTACCATGAACACACACACACACACACACACACGCACACACAAGCAAAAGCAGTTTGGCAATAGAAATGTTTTTCATCTTTTGAATAATATTAGAATCAAACCAAATAGAGAGAAACAAAACACTATTTACCTGATGATGAACTCTGTTACTGTTAGCTCAGGGATCTTTATCTACAGGAAACCACTGCAGATTTGGAAACCAACTACAGAGCTGTTTTTTGTGGGCGGGGTTGTGGCTAACTGATCTAAATGCCCCATGCCTTGTCTTATCTTCTATGTCCTTTCTTTGGTCTGGTTTTGCAACTGAACCCTTTTTTATTTTTTGAATTGTATCTTTCTATGTACATCATAGGATCATAGGATCTTCACTTCTGAATTCAGTTGCATATAAAAGCTTTAACATATTGCAACTGTACATTGTACATATGCAAAAGGTTTGAACGACATGTTGATAAAATATGGCATGTTTCTGCAAATTTTACCACACATTTTATTATTTTTTGGGGGGTGGGGGGGTTCCCACCAATTTTCTCCCCAGTGTAGTCATTTCCAGTTCCACCCATTTCGTTACGTCTCCCCCAGTCACACACTGATATTTGTTTTTTTCGACCGCAACAATATACAACAGGTACAGTGTTAGATATGAGCAGTGAATTCACAGCACTGTGAAGAAAATGATCTGTAAAGCTGTTCATCTGGGCATGCTATTCTAAGATAACATTAGAATATATACAAATAAACATAAATACAATAAAACATGCTGTTTTAGTAAAGTTATGAATGTGTTGGGAGAAAACAATAAGAGGAACACAGGTTTGGTTCCTCAATGACTTGTTTATTTGTTTATTTGTATTCATTCTAATGTTGTGTTATAAAAATTTAGGACAAAATATAATTTAGAACTTAACAGAGATAAATTTAGAAGCTAACACTGTCAAGCCTCCCGCTGAGGACGCCTCCTCTGCCTGTTCCCTTTTCCCCTGCAGGATCACTTGAGTCTATGAACTGTCTAGAGGACTCCAACTCCCATGAGTCAATGGGAGATCATATGACTCTTCTCACATGGCCATCTACACTATATTGCCAAAAGTATTCGCTCGTCTGCCTTCACACGCATATGAACTTGAGTGACATCCCATTCTTAATCCATAGGGTTTAATATGAGGTTGGCCCACCCTTTGCAGCTATAACAGCTTCAGCTCTTCTGGGAAAGCTTTCTACAAGGTTTAGGAGTGTGTTTATAGTAATTTTTGACCATTCTTCCAGAAGCGCATTTGTGAGGTCAGATACTGATGTTGAACGAGAAGGCCTGGCTCACACTCTTCGCTCTAATTCATCCCAAACGAGTTCTAACAGGTTGAGGTCAGGACTCTGTGCAGACCAGTCAAGTTCTTCCATACCAAACTCACTCATCCATGTCTTTATGGACCTTGCTTTGTGCACTGGTGTGCAGTCATGTTGGAACAGGAAGGGGTCATGCCCAAACTGTTCCCACAAAGTTGGGAGCATGAAATTGTCCAAAATTGATTGGTTTGCTGAAGCATTAAGGGTTCCTTTCACTGGAACTAAGGGGCCGAGCCCAACTCCTGAAAAACAACCCCACACCATAATCCCCCCTCCACCAAACTTTACACTTGGCACAATGCAGTCAGACAAACACCGTTCTCCTGGCAACTGCCAAACCCAGACTCGTCCATCGGATTGCCAGACGGAGAAGCGTGATTAGTCACTCCAGAGAACACGTCTCCACTGCTCTAGAGTCCAGTGGCGGCATGCTTTACGCCACTGCATTCAACACTTTGCATTGCGCTTGGTGATGTAAGGCTTGGATGCAGCTGCTCGGCCATGGAAACCCATTCCATTAAGCTCTCTATGCTGTTCTTGAGCTAATCTGAAGGCCACATGAAGTTTGGAGGTCTGTAGCGATTGACTCTGCAGACAGTTGGTGACCTCTGCGCACTATGCGCCTCAGCATCCGCTGACCCCGCTAATATTGCAATCCAGTTGAAGTCTTAACCTGTGCTCAGCAAAACTCTGTGAAATGAGTAAATGATGTTTGAATAGTACGTGCAATGCACATGAATGGAGAATTCACAACTAAAAATTTTACATGTACTAGCCAGGTGATATACATACATACATACATACCTTACTGTACAATTTACACCTAAGAGAACTGTATAAAACATCATCTTAGCAGTTAGTGTGTTTTTGCTAGTAAAACACTATATGTCATTAGAATAAATACAAATAAACGTTATTGCAGGAAAATAACTGTTTTCATGAAAGTAGTTAATACCTTGTGAGTTCATAAGAGGAACAACAAATATCTGTGTCACCGGAAGACATGCCATAAACAAACAAACAAACAAACAGAGAAGCATCCATCCATGTACACAGGATTAGTCCATGTATCATATCATGTCACCTATAATATAATGTTTTGTACTGTAGCATCAGCAGTAGAAGAAACACCGAGGAGGCCATGTTTCTGCTGCAAGCAGTGCTCTTTGTTAAACACACCAGCAGGAAGGCATATACAGAGCACTGAAACCTTGGGGGAAGTCACCACTAGCCACACACTTCACCCTGATGGTGACTCCCTGCTTACATGCAAAACACACTGACAACCCACATCCCATTTGTGCTTTGTGTGTGAAAATAAAATGAACATGTATGCTCATTATGCGTATACATATTGTCTGTCGTCCTTCTATTACATGTGCACTCATGTCTTTGTCTTAATGTTTAGGCAGAGAGCTGGGGCTCCCTGGCAGTGTGGCTTTCATTCCCCATGGGAGAAGCTGCCACCTTGGAAGCAACTGAACACCAGCACAAGTGCCAGTGGAGGATCCCTGGGGGCCTTGGGTGGTGCACATGAGCAGCACCCTCGCTGACATTAACAATGCAGTGAACAACAGAGAAAGTGGAAGGCGGCTGAGAGAAGTGCCGCCGCTGCTGCTGCTGTTGCCCCCAGTAGCTCCAGACTTGATGGTGTGAGCTGTGACTTGCTGAGTGCAGTGCATGTAGCGGCTGGCAAGGGGCACTTCCACATGGGCAAGACCAGTACTCAACAAAAAAGAGACTGCATTAGACCAGGAGAGAGGACTGGAGGCCCTCGTTGTGGAGGAGTGGCTTTTGGACGGGGCCAGGATGGTAGAAAGGCTTGTTCATTAGAGATGAGTATTAGGTCTCTAATGAACAAGTCCTATTTCATTAATACTTTTATTACAGCCCATGGGCTTGATTTTATGCTTTTAGACCCTGGGCTACTCAGATATGCCATTATTTGACATGTAAATGCTCACAGAAATGTGATATCTTGATGAATTGGGCTGATTTTTGATCAAAAATTTACCTAGCGCCTGCTAAGTTTGTAATTTTTTGGCTTATAGAGATCTTGAAAACAAGTTGCACCTCAGATAGCTTTTTTTCAGAAATTGTTAGTCTGGAGTTTCTGTGAGCTGAAAGAGAAATAGTTTTGATGGCCAGGTGCAATACCTGCCCTTGTCACCAGAGGTCAGCCTCACCTGAGTACTGACTTGCTTCCTAGTAACACTTAACCTCTCTTACCTGCAGCTCATTTACCTCCCTCTATAAGGACCTTCACTAACGCTGGATCTCTGTGAAGTATTGCCAGTTCATCTGCATACCAAGCCTTGTTTCTTCATGACTGTTGGATTTTTTTTGGATTACCTGGACCTTTTGCTGAACTCCTTGACTCTGCTTTTTAGAACTCCCTTTTGGTACCTTTGCTGTGTTGTGATTCTTTCTGGTTTTTTGACTTTTTGTGATCTTTATACTGTGTTTTTGGGTAAACAGGAATTATGGATTCAAATTCATCTGGAGAGTCTTCCTTACAATTGGTTATTATGAGTAAAAATAAAGATTTAGCATAAGGTGGATATGTTTTTTTTATTGATCTTCTGTCCTCTTGGATTCATGCTCAGTGCTAAAACTCTGATACACAGCAAGACAGGCTTTATTTTTAATTACAAATGGAGTTGCATATTTAATATCAGATATTTTAATACTCAAAATCAAAGTAAACTGAAAGACAGAGCTAGTCATAAGTTAACACTCAAATTTTGGTACACATTTTGTTTTGGCCAGCCTCTAGCCCTTAATGAACGGTCAGTTTCTGAGCACAGAGCTGCTAGTGTCTGCATATTTTTGTGTGGTGGTCCACTCTTGACACAGCAGTGATACTGATATGTGTAACAACCCCAGCAACACCACTGTGTCTGATACACTTATACCAGCACCACACACACTACCATGTCAGTGTCACTGCTGTGCTGAGAATAGACCACCACCCAAATGATACCTGCTCTGTGGTGATCCTGTGGGGGTCCTGACCATTAAAGAACAGGGTGAAAGGGGGCTAACAAAGTATGCAGAGAAACGAATGGACTACAGTCTGTAATTGTTGAGCTACAAAGTGCTCCTATATGGTCAGTGGAGCTGATAAAATGGATAACGAGTGTAGAAACAAAGAGGTGGTTTTAGTGAAGTGGTCAGTCAGTGTACACTGTAAAACTGAAAGGACACATAAAGCACCTTTTGGGGTTCCTCAGCTTGACACAATGGCAGAACATTTAGGGAGCCTCCAGGAACCTTTTTAAAGGGCAGTTTTCAGTGATTTATGAGGTTCAGCTTTATCCAGCATAGCCTGTGAACTCTCTGCATGGTTCACAGAGCCATTTTTAAAATGCCACGTTCTTCAAGGAACTCTAATTTATTTTGAAGTTTGAGGTCTACTACTGACCAGCATCAGCAAACCTTTTGGTTACTCAAGCAACCTGCTGGAATACAAAAACATCTAGCGTTCTCAAAATAGGCCCTTTTAGGATTATAGGTTCTACTAAGAACCACCAAAGGTGTTTGAAGGCTCACTCAAAAGAAGACAGTTCCTCCAGGAACTGCTTGATGCAACATTCTGCAAGAGCTTGTAGACTATCAAGGGTTCCTCATTATATGTTGTTCCTCATTTTATAATGATTAAAGGACATTTAATTTTTACAGTGTAGTGGAGCTATAAGGAGTGAGATCTTGATAAAGTGTCCAGTGAGTAGAAACACAAGGTAGGTGTTTCTAGTAAAGTGGCCAGTGAGTGGATGTACAAGATAGGTGTTTCTAATAAAGTGGCCAGTGAGTGGAAACACAAGGT